TTTGATCCCTGGTCAGGGAACTAAGATCCCACATGCTGTGGAGGAACTACACTCGAATGCCGCAACTACTGCGATCGCAGGCCTCAATGAGAGAGCCTGCGTGCCTCAGACTACAGAGCCCACACACCCTGGAGCCCAAGCACCACAACTAGAGAGAGAAAACCCACACGCCACAACTAAAGAGAAGCTCACATGCCACAACAAACAGCCCGTGCCGCAAAGAAAAGATCCCACATGCCTCAATGAAGATCCCGCATGCCACAGCTAAGACCAGATGCAGCCAAAAAATAAAGAAAATAAATTTTTAAAAAATGGATTGCAGATCTAAATGTGAAATCTAAGTTATAAATCTTCTAGCTGGAAACACAGGAGACTATATGAGCTCAGAGTAGGCAAAGATTTCTTATAAAAGAGCAAAAGGTACTAACCATAAAGGAAAAAAAGATAAAATAGATTTCATCCAAATTTAAAACTTCTGCTCATCAAAAAACACAATTAAGAAAGTGAGGGACTTCCATGGTTGTGCAGTGGTTAAGAATCCGCCTGCCAACGCAGGGGACACAGGTTCCTGCCCTGGTCTGGGAAGATCCCACATGCTGCAGAGCAACTAAGCCCGTGTGCCACAACTACTGAGCCTGTGCTCTAGAGGCCGCAAGCCACAACCACTGAGCCTATGTGCCACAACTACTGAGGCTACATGCCTAGAGCCCGTGCTCCTCAACAAGAAAAGCCACCGCAATAAGAAGCCCACACACCGCAATGAAGAGAAGCCCCTGCTCGCTGCAACTAGAGAAAGCCCGCGCACAGCAACGAAGACCAAACACAGCCAAAAATAAATAAATAAATAAATAAATATTTTGAAACACATCTGCAAAGGATTTGTAACCAGATAGTACAAAGAACTCTTAAAACTCAATAATAAGACCACTCAGCTTTCAAAAACGGGCAAAACATTTTCACAAACACTTTGCAAAGAAGATATACAAATGGCCAAGAAATTAAATGGAAAGACGCTCAGCATCATTAGTCATCAGGGAAATTCAAATCAAAAACACCATGAGAGGGGCTTCCCTGGTGGCGCAGGGGTTGAGAGTCCGCCTGCTGATGCAGGGGACACGGGTTCGTGCCCTGGTCCGCGAAGATCCCACATGCCGCGGAGCGGCTGGGCCCGTGAGCCATGGCCGCTGAGCCTGCGCGTCCGGAGCCTGTGCTCCGCAACGGGAGAGGCCACAACAGTGAGAGGCCCGCATACGGCAAAAAAAAACAAAAGAAAAAACACACACCATGAGATAATACCACACACCCACAAGAATGACGAACAGTACCAAGTGCTGAGAGGCTATGAAGCTACTGGAGCTTTCATATATTGCAGGTGAGTGTATAAAATGGCACAACCTCTTTTGAAAACTTTTTGGCAGTTGCAACTAAAGTTAAACCTACCCTATGACCAAGCAATTGCACTCTTAGGCACACAAGAAAAATGAGAGCAGACGTCCACAAAAAGGACTTGTTCAAGAATAAAACACCTTCATTACACCAAAAAGTGGAAATAATCCAAATATTCATCAATAGGAGAATGGATAAACAAATTATAGATTCATACAAATAAAAATAGCAACCTACTGATACACGCAACTACCTGGATAAATCTTAAAATCACTACATTGTGTAACGATTCCAAGCACAGAGAGTATATACTATATAATTGTATTTATATGAAGTTTGAGAACAAATAAAAGCATCAGATGTTAACTAGACTTATTTTGGTTATCATTTCACAATATACAAATATTCAGATGCACAAGTGTTGCACACCTGAAACTAATATGTTACATGTCAATTATACCTCAGTAATAAAAAACAAACAAAAACAAAAGGAAACAATGTTTACCTCTGGAGGTGGATATTGGCTGGGAATGTGCACAAGAAAACTCTCTGTATGACACCTCTGCTCCACATCCATCATTACAGTCATTCTACCTCTGAACCATACCTAGAATCATCTTCTTCTCATGATCTCCCCTGTCCTCACCCTAGGACAAGTCTCAACTGTCTCTGATGTGCAGGCCACAAGGACACTGTGCCTGAAGACTGAATGGGAGGACAAGAGCCCCCAGAGACTCATCAGATATGAGTGGTGTTCTTCTCAATGTGAATGAGCCATTACCACAAAACTTCCATTCCTACTGATCCAGAATTTTAACTGATTTTCTTTTGAGCTTCATTTGGTTTTTACAATATTTCTAGTGCCTTAACCATAAAAAATGACATTGGTTCTATGGGAAAATGTGTTCTGATTTTCAACAATTGATTAGAATTGTTAAAATTGATTAACTTTTTAGAACCCAGTCATTTCTTCATTGGAGATTTTCCTCTTCTTTTTATGGTATTTTTAAGTATCTCTAAATCTATTTAGTGGGTTTATATTCTGTATTTCCAATCATCTTTGAAAATCACGAAGGGCAGACTCTTCCATTACTTGTGTTTGTGTGTTAGAGCATGGCTTGCAGCACTGGATGCACAGGAAGCACAGCTGAAATGGAGCAGGACCCTATGGTCCTCCCCCCACCCCCCATGTCCTCTGCCTGCCTTTTGTCCGTAGAAAAACTTTAGTCAAAGTTGAGCCTGTATATACTCACTTGCAAATTTGCAGTTAGCCTAAACAGAGAGAAAATTTGAGTCAAGGTTTAAAACATTTTACAAGTAATTTTAAAACAACATAAAACATATTTGCCAAGTTTAAAAGTAATTAATTACAAAACACAATTAAAGTAGTGGAGCAGGGCTTCCCTGTGGCACAGTGGATGAGAATCCGCCTGCCAATACAGGGGACACGGGTTCGATCCCTGGTCTCGGAAGATCCCACAGGCTGCGGAGCAACTAAGCCCTGTGTGCTACAACCACTGAGCCTGTGCTCTAGAGCCCGCAAGCCACATCTACTGAGCCCATGTGCTGCAACTACTGAAGCCCACGTGCCTAGAGCCAGTACTCCACTACAAGGGAAGCCACCGCAATGAGAACCCTGCGCACCGCAACAAAGAGTAGCCCCAAATCATGGCAGCTAGAGAAAGCCCATGTGCAGAGACAAAGACCCAACAAAGCCAAAAATAAATAAATAAAATAAATAAGTTTATTAAAAAAAAGTAGTAGAACATTAAAATTATATTTTAAAATACTAAGTTTTAAAAGTAATTCTTGTATTGTTCTGAAATTCTAAAACCGATTCAGTAGGGAGATATTAATATTCAGTTTATAAAAGTATTCATCAGTTTTCCTATAACTAGGCATCTCTAGTACATTCAGAATTATCCAGTTTACAAGTAATTCATTTATAAGTTAAACTTCCAATATGTAAAAGGGTTGCATTAAAACACTTTTCAAAATTTTATTTTTAAAAGTACTATTATAATATAAGTTCACATTTATAACTGAAAACTTTTATGAAAGTTATCAGTCTAAAAAGTTACAGGTCCAAATAATATTGATACTAATATTAATTAGGGTTGTCTTAACTGCTGTAAAAAGCAAAATTAAAAATTCTATAGCATAAACAAAATAGCAATTTACTTATCTCTCATGTAAGAGTCCAAGATTAATAGATCCAGACTAGAATATCCAGTCATTTAGGGCCCCAATCTGATAGTGGACCTACTTCAATACATAGTTCCCAAACATCTCTCTGTTATCATTATTCTAGGCTACAGGAAACCATTGCCTTTTAAATGGGTTAGACAGAACTTAGTGAGAACTTAGTCATATGGCCACGTGCAGCTGCAAGGGAAACTGGGAAATACTGTTGCTATTTGGGCAGCCCCATCCCAGCTACAGTCCTATAATTCTGTAATATGAGGAAAACAGATTTTAATGAAGAGCTAGCATTGTCTGACACCCCTCCAGCCACTAGAATTCTGTGTTCATCCTTCTCCTGATATGCTCATCCCCATCCCAAGGGAGACAACTCCAAATTCCATCCAGGTCCTACATCCAGCTCAGATTCTGGGATCTCTGGGTGACTTGCAATCATCTCCCTCAGACTCAGATTGGCTTTTTGTGGTCCAGCAGCTCATTAACTCAAAGGAAGTCACTAACTTCTCCAACACCCAATAACCCATGGTCTAATAGAAACAGGATGATTATATGAGAACTTCTTGTTCTTTAGTATTCAGTGGCCCTTCTGCTGCCATAAATCTTGGGAAGAGATAAGACAAGAGGTTAATATTTTTGAAATCTTAAGGGAGAGGCATTTAGGCAACTGGAAAAAAAACCCTGCTTTTTCTTTCTAAGAGAAAGTAGCATTAGACAGAAGAAAAGATATTTGGTGACAAAAGACATTCTATTTCATGGTATTTGATGGTGAGGACACTAGTTAAATAAGGGATTTCTGGAGAAAAGTGAGAAGAGAATCCAGAACAAAAGTAAATAGTAGCTTTTTTTTTTAAAGAAAAATACGAACTTTTTGATTAGCTTGTCTTAAGATGACTATTGAGAGATTAATGACATTTTGATAATAAGAACTATATCAAAAAGACAGAACCACATCAAAACACAAAAACACTTTAATTACTGAGAAATATATATAACTCCATCCTTAAGCTTCTTTCCCTTTATTCTCTCATTAGGCTATGTTGATGTCATGTGTTCCCCACTGTGTGTGTGATTACGTGTGTGTGTGTGTGTGTGCATGTGTGTGTGTGTTCATATAATTCAGACCATATTTTGAACAGGAGACTTCCTGATGGAGCCAAATGATTTCCCAAACCAAAGATCTTTTTTTAAACACATTTTAAAGTAGTTGAAATAAGGCAACAGCTAAAAGCAGTTCAACTAAAGTGTAAACTGTAAAGGCAGGTGCTAGGCAAAGAAAGGGGATGCAATAGAGAGCTGAGAAATGGACAAAGGACTTGTGGCTAAAAAAGACGTAAAAATATCCTCATAAAGGAGCAGTATATATAGTGATTGAAGCCAGACTGCCAGGTGTACCTTCCTGCCTTTCCACTTACTTGCAAAAGATGTAGTTGATAGTACGTTCTTCTTGGGGTTGCTGAGAGGATTACATGTGTCCATTCCCATTGTATCTTTTGTACCATATAAGGTAAACCCTTGAGAAATAGTGATTGGTCCGGGAAGGATACTTTTGGGGTGATGTTAGTAAGTCAAAACCCAATGCTGGAATTATTGGCATCAAATCATCTTCAGCAAGGTTGACTCAGGGAGTAGTATGAGGTGCACAAAGATGCATGGCATCTGTCACAACCCAGCTCTCCCAGAACCCCTTACAGCTGTCAAAATAGACTCCTGGGTTGAATAAGCCCTGATTCTGACCTAGTGTATGAAATCCTATATCCATTACATTGGTCTTTTCCGAATAATTTGAAAATTTTGTTACATTTTAGAAGTGTAATCACACGGGTAGCTGTGTGTTTGTAATCACACAGATAGCTGAGTCAGGAAAGTTCTTTTTTACAGTATTTTTATTTTTTTGAAATTATCTGTTTGTGTATCAGTCTTCTCTACTAAACTATAAGCTCCTTTAAGTAGGACATTTAATCCCCTCACTCCCCACTGTACCCCAGCACCCAGCTCAGTGCATGGGTATTTTAAAGTAAATTTCTTCCCGTAGCACGGAACCAAAGATCCGATTTGTGGGGTTGGGGGTTGGCTTGGAGAGGTGGACGAGGGGCCTGACAGATGTGTTCTGACAGATCTCCTGAAAGACAGATGTTCTCCGCTTAAGCTTTTGAGCAAGACTTGCTTCGGGGCTGTTGGTGACAGTTTCCATTCACCAGTAGGAGTCTGTCACTATAAGACAACACCAGGAAGTTAGAAGTGAATGGGAAGGGCGGGTGATGGAGATTCCGGCCCCTAGGGTCTCCCCTGAGAGTAGCTGAGAGTGCGGGCAACTGCAGGTGAAAAACAGAGAGGTCATAGGGTTAATTATTTCTGCCCAGAGCAGGTTTGGCCCACGTTTTCTCCCCTCTGTGGGGGTAATGGGCGCTGCTGAGTGGGCGGTGTGTTGGCTGAAAGGAGGTGGAGCTGAACAGCCCCTCCACATTGGCTATTGCTGCTGTTTGTACTTTGTTGTTTTACATTTCTTTGCAAAGAGCTGAAAGTGCAGTGCCCTCCAGATCGCAGCTGAAGGATCTGCCAGTGTTGGGGCAAAGGCAGCGAGGTCGGGTACCACAGCAGAGCTCTCAGCTCTGGGTCTCAGCTCTGGGTCTTCCAGGCACAGGGCTCACCCATCCAAGGTAGTAGTTCCCGGTGGTCCATGAGGACACTGGAATCTGGGTTCCCCAAAGGCACCTGCTGCTGCAGAATTTATCTAAATGCCACGTTCAAGCTCTTCTTTGAAAGGTATTAACTGATGTGTGCTTTCTGTCTTTTGTCATCCTTTCTTTAGGACAGGTTACACTGACCCAGCCTGGTGAAGATCTCTGGAGACCATGACCAAGAAAAGAATTGCTGTGATTGGGGGAGGAGTGAGTGGGCTCACATCTATCAAGTGCTGCCTGGAAGAAGGCTTGGAGCCCGTCTGCTTTGAAGGGACTGATGACATCGGAGGGCTGTGGCGGTTTCAGGTAAATCTTTTTCCTTAATACTTGGAACTCTCGCTGTAACTAGGTGCATAAGATATTTTACCTCGTGTCAGGAAGTATGATGGGCTTCACAGTGATTAAACCTGCCAGACTTCAACCTGCTGACCTCCTCTCAGCAGCCATCACCTCAGGTTCTATGCAGGTTCCTCTTTCCCTACGCTGGCAGCAAAATGGGACGCAGGTATCACTCGTTCTGTCCTTTACTGATGTCTGTGAAAATGGCACAGAGATCATTTTCATTTACAGATCTTCCTTGATTTACAATGAGGTTACATCTTGATAAGCCCATCGTAAATTGAAAATATCCTGTTACAAATGTATTTAATGCACCTAATCTACCTCACACCATAGCTGAGCCTAGCCTACCTTAAACGTGCTCAAAACACTTACGTTAGCCTACAGTCAGGCAAAATCATCTCACACAAAGCCTATTTTATAATAAAGTGTCGAATAGCTCATGTAATTTATTGAATGCTGTAGTGAACATGAAAAACAGAATGGTTGTTTGGGTGCAGAATGGTTGTAAGTCTATCAGTTGTTTACCCTCCTGATCCTTCCAGCTGACTGGAAGCTGCCACTGTCCAGCATCACCGGAGTATGTTACAAAATATCGCTAACCCAGGAAAAGATCAAAATTCGAAGTGTGGTTTCTATGGAATGTGTATTGCTTTTGAACCATTGTAAAGTCAAAAAATCACAAGTTGGGCACTGTCTGTAATGAGTTTTGCCGCTATCCAGAAAAGGGTAACAATCTTGGTAGGGGGGTGTAGCAGAATGGCATCATGTAAAGTGGTTGCTCTTGGTCTGCGTTCATCGGTAAGTGATCTAGAATACTGCTTACAACTCCTTCCAGGAATCCCCCTTTTCAATCTCTTCTAACCTTACTTTTTTTTTTTCTTTTCTTTCTTACCTTCCTTCCTTCGTTGCTTCCTTCCTTCTTTACTTTAAACAATTCTCTAATGAGTCTAGTGCTTGAATAGGATATAAAATCTGGCTGCCTTCCTTGCTTTGCACTTTTCCTTCACTTGAGAAATCAAAGCAGTAGTCCTGTCTTCAGAGAAGGGCAGAGGGCACCTGCAACTGGGTTTTCTTGTCCTTGCACAGACTCAGTTTTAAAGTTGAGTTGCTTTAATATGCACACCGAGTCCTGCAACTTGTTACTAACAGTTAAGGTATCTTCTTACTTAAATGATAGTTAAGCTTATTATATGTCAAAGAATATCACCCTCCTTAACTGATCTCCAAAACAACATCCATTGGGTTTGCTTTTCAACTCACTTTTTAAGCCAGTGAATGGTATTAAGGTGTCCAGATTTGTTTCATATTTCACAAAACGAATACGGTGCTGGCCAGCTACTTAAAAGTGGTTTCATTCGTTCATAGCATTCCTTAGTAGAACAGCAGTACAGTTGTTTTGCATCTGGGCTCTGTCTTGGGGACTAACTCTATTTGACAATCGTCCCTATTCGGATCTAGGGTGGATACTCCTTAGCACACCATGCATGCCTCGGTCATAATCAGTCTTGGGCATGGCTGAAAAGACTGTTAATTAATATTTTGTAATAAATAGGAAATTTTACTTTTGAAATCCAGCCACAGCATGGTGTAGACATTAAGAGCACGTCTGGGTTCAAATCCTACTGTGACCTTGGGGAAAACCATTAACCCTCTCTGTACCTCTGTGTTGTCATCTTTAAGAAGGAGATAATATTGGCACCCACTTCATAGTTATTGTGGCGATTAAGTGAATGAATACTCATGTCATCACTAATAACAGTGGCACAATAATTGCTAAACATCAGTTATTATTCAGTTGGCCTAGAGTGTGGCCCACACATTTGGTGTCTGGTAAGCATCCTAGCCAGGTCTGGCAACTACTGACCAGGCATGAAATTAGTGAAGGGTCCACCATCCTACCTGATTATCAGGTTTTACTTCCAAAGTGGTTTAAACTTCCTCTCTGTTAAAGACCCAATTTGGAGTGTTTTCTGATTATACTCTTGGCAAAACTTCAGCACCTTATAAACTGCTTTCTTGAAAATAAATAAGCTATATTTCATCATAATGCTCTGACTGCTGTTAAGACAGACCACATCTGTGTCTATTACATTATATATAACATACATATATTTTACATATATTATAAAGGCACACACAAACACCACTATATTTCTAGAGCCATGGGGGATGCCTGGCATATATTAGGCACCAAATATATTTACATTTTATAAATGAATCCTAGAGAAGCAAAATATCTTGGGTGGCTGCTTAGAATGCTTGTGAAATAGAGACCTTCATTCTCACATATTCCACAGTTACACAGTTGTGGAGCCTAATTGCAGATTAAACATGTTTTACATGCTGATGCTGGTTTCCTCAAGAATTGCCTCAGATCTGCTTTTCTGTGACCCCCTTGCTTGTTATTTGGAGCCTTCCTCTCCCCCATCCTACCCCCCTAAATTTTCTGTAATTCATTGGGGGTTTCATATATAGGATCGTCCCAAGCACTTTGGAATGCCACCATTGCTACCGGGTGTCCAGTAAGCCACTGGCAACTCAGGGCTTCCATTTTCTCTTTCTTGTAACAGGTCTCAGGGACTCAATATAAATTTCTTTCTTCTTGATCTCCTCATTAATGTTAGACCAGACTGATGGTGAAAAGTCGGTAGTAATGTGAGACATATCACTTTAATTTTCATACTGCAATATTACTTTATGAACGAAATAGCTTAAAATGATAAATCTCTTATGAAATGCTGAGGTTTTAATGAGCATGTATTGCTGGAAAATAATTTTTAATATTCTTTAGTCAATCTGAATTTTAAAAATCCTTAAAGCATACCAAAGCAGTGCTTCTCCAACTTTAATGTGCACATGAATCACTGGAGCTTTTGCTGAAGTGTACATTCCGATTCATTAATCTGGGGTGGTGCCAAGATTCTATATTTCAGGCAAAGCCCCAGGTGATGTTGATGCTACTGATCTGATAACTACAGTTCACGTAGTGAGGTTCTAAAGTGTATATGTGATACAAAGATAGCACATGGATACAATATAATGTAAGATGGGCGTATTTAGAACATTTTAATTTAAAATATGAAATTAAGTAATAAACCCTTAGTTGAATCGGTGTTTAATTCTTAAATATCAACCCCCCCCCCAAAAAAAAAGACAACTGAATGGATACAAAAATACTTAAAAGAGGGTAACTGTAGAGCAGTGGCTGTCAGCTTTGGCTGCAACACTGAACAATCACCTGGGGAACTTTAACAAACTTTAACAAATACTGATATCAGTCCATCCAGATTCTGGTTTTATTGGCCTGGGGTGTCAATAAAGCTCTCCACTAGCTATTTCTAATGTGCAGCCAACATGGAAACCTTTGCCCTTCAGCTTTTACCCCAGCTTTCCCAGGTGATAAATGAGGATCACATTGCGTGTTGAAAACAAAATCGATAACAGTTCATTGAACAAACATTTCTGAAGCTCAGACTTTGTTAGATGGTGTGGAGACACAGAGTTATATAACTTCCTGCCACTGCCCTCAGGCATTGTGCAGTTTAGCTAAGGATGTGTGGAGAAAAGACTTCTGAGGTGGATGGGATAAATTCTGGTGCCCTGAGCTTTCCGGGGCCACCACACGACCTCTTACCAGCAGAACTCAACCTTGTCTACACATTAGAGAAGGAGCAATTAAAACAGGGTCCCTGGGCTTCCCTGGTGGCGCAGTGGTTGAGAGTCCGCCTGCCGATGCAGGGAACGCGGGTTCGTGCCCCGGTTCGGGAAGATCCCACATGCCGCGGAGAGGCTGGGCCCGTGAGCCATGGCCGCTGAGCCTGCGCATCCGCAGCCTGTGTTCCGCAGCGGGAGAGGCCACAACAGTGAGAGGCCCGCGTACCGGAAAAAAAAATAAAAAACAAAAAAAACAGGGTCTCTGGGAGTAAGGACCAGGCATTAGTATTTTAGAGTTCCCCAGATGAGTCCAGTGTGAAGACAACGCTGAGAACAACAGTCCTAAGACAGCTTCTGTCCCACGGGATTCTGAGAGTCTGTCAAAGGAACAGAAGATCCACACTGTTCTCACTCCTCCCACTGAAGGGGAGTCATTTTTCTCCTTTCTTCTGCCCTTACTATTGCCTCCAGTCCCTTCAGTTCCAATTATACTACCCTACGTCCCTGGTTCTCTCTTTTCTCATATGAACTTCCTACTCAATGCGAGTCATGTGCTTAGGCAGGAAATAGAATCAAGATACATCTCTAGAGGGCAGATTATTCGCCGATGGTAGGAAAAACTAAAATGCAGGAGCAGAAGCTGCTTCTTCCACTCACTGACCCAGTACTGCTCTGCCCTCACTCTCTTTTGTAAAGCGGTGAGTTGACAGTAATGAACCCTACATAGGGTCCAATCAGGTGTTTAGAAGGGCTTGAAGGTTTTTGTTGACACACAATAACACTTTTTTTGCCTTAGTTACTTGAAAAAGAATACAAATATATGATTATTGTCACAGGAGTAAGATCTGTGATTCATTTAGCTCAGTGACCCCAACATACCTGCTGTGGAAAGCATGACTCCAATCTTTGTACTAAATTTTGAACCCTTGGAAAACAGGGACAGACTTGTATTTTTTAGCATTAATATAGTGTTTTTATTACAGAGAGACTTTAGAAATATCTACTGAATGAATGAATGAAGTCAAATTTGATAGGAATGTGTCTACCCCTGCCCCCTCAAACATCTTGGTTCCAAAAGAACCCTACCACTCATTAATTTCATTTTTTTTGAAAAAACGTGCTATGTACAAACAACATGTTTAAGTAAACTTTGAATTTTAGAACTGTGTTAGATTTACAGAATTATTAGGAAGATAGTACAGAGTTCCCATATACCCCATGCCCAGATATTATTAATATCTTACATTAGTATGCTACATTTGTCCTAATTAATGAACCAGTATTGATACATTATTATTAGTTGAAGTCCA